CCATATAGCGTTTGTCATTTGGGTTGGAGCATCCTGTCTGTCTGATCACAGTCCTCTAGAGCCTCTGAAAATTCTGTGATTCAGCAGGTTGTTAAGGCTGCTTTTGTTCTGGCTCTGATGTCAGATCAGCACATAGTTTGAGCCCTCTTTTATCCCAGGCTCTCCCATGGGTCACTGTCTGGGGCTGATGCATTCTGCCTTGATGGATTGAATTTGAGTACTGGAGAGAAAATACTTAATTCAGCTACAGATAAACAGGAATTTAAAATCTTAGATTCCCAAGTCTCAGCTACAGCCTGAGCATCATTAGGAAGGGCAACTTTTTTGGTCTATGAGGACAAAAAGTAGAAATGTGGACACTGAGATAGAAAAACCCAGGTGTCCTGCAGCCAGGAAACTACTCACTCCCTGGCCTACTCGCCCAGCCTATTCAGATGTGCTGTGGGCCACCAAAATCTTCCATCTCTCTGTGTCTTACTTTCTTGGGAGATGTGTGATGAGAGGAAGTCTCTTATTTCTGTGAGGGGCTTGGTGTTGTTGCACCAAAAGTAGCGGACATGACAACCAAGACAGTGATCATCCCTCATGGACAATTTTGTCTGCTGGTTTTGAAACTAGAATTGATTTGGATATAAAAACCAGGCCTGGGGAGCTGGAAGTGAAAACCTATGCAGAGGCCACTGGGAAAACTGCCAGGAGCTGCCGCAGGGAGCTGGCACCAAAACCGCATCTGTGTATCAGTAATGTTCCCTGATTCAGTCAGTCTGGTTCCACAGGCTTAAAGTAGCATAACTGCTCACTGTCACCAGGATGTTTGCATTGTGGGCTTTTCTCCCCTGTCCACTGAGCAGGTGTGGTTTGGAACAGGATGTTCCTGGTTATAACCACGCGGGACAGCAGGTTCCCTCAGACGGGTGGAGTGGGGGTGGTCCTGTCTCCCAGTGTCTCAGACAAGCATTGCCATGCAGTTCCTGTTATTGCTGGCAACTGCTGTTGTGGTCCTGACTCTCCCTGTGCTGCTGCTGTTTTGCAGGCTTCCTACCTCACATGGGGTGTCCTCCAGGAGCGTGTGATGACGAGAACGTACGGTACCACTGAAACAGACCCTGGAGAAAAGTTCAAGGACTCCCAGTTCCTCGTGTTCATGAACCGCATCCTGGCCTTCACAGTGGCTGGTCTGTACTGCGCCCTGACCAAGCAGCCACGCCATGGGGCTCCTATGTACAAATACTCCTTTGCCTCCCTCTCCAACATCCTCAGCAGCTGGTGTCAGTATGAGGCACTCAAATACATCAGCTTCCCCACCCAAGTGCTGGCCAAGGCCTCCAAAGTGATCCCAGTGATGATGATGGGCAAACTGGTGTCGCGCAAGAGTTATGAGTACTGGGAGTATCTGACTGCTGCCCTCATCTCCGTGGGGGTCAGCATGTTCCTGCTCTCCAGCGCTCCTAACAGGACAGTGTCCACTGTCACCACTTTCTCTGGCATAGTGCTCCTGGCTGGCTACATAATCTTTGACAGCTTCACCTCCAACTGGCAGGATGCTCTCTTCACGTACAAGATGTCTCCCGTGCAGATGATGTTTGGTGTCAACGTCTTCTCCTGCCTTTTCACTGTGGGCTCGCTCGTGGAGCAGGGTGCCTTGGTGGAGTCGCTGCGCTTCATGGCCCGCCACTCGGAGTTCACCGCCCACGCCGTGCTGCTCTCCGTGTGCTCTGCCTGCGGCCAGCTCTTCATCTTCTACACCATCAACCAGTTCGGGGCAGCTGTCTTCACCATCATCATGACACTTCGACAGGCCTTTGCCATCCTCCTCTCCTGCCTCATCTACGGGCACACTGTCACTGTGGTGGGTGGGCTGGGCATAGCCGTTGTCTTCATGGCCCTCTTTCTCCGTGTCTACGCCCGCAGCCGCATGAAGAAGCGCACTAAGAAGCTCCCGCCGGGCGAGACCCCTGTACAAAAGGTCTAAGGAAGCTGAGGCCATGGCATTTAAGCCATGCCTGCTGTCCTGCCTCCACTCAAGAGTATTTGCTGGATTTCTCACAACCCACTGAGAAGAAGAGTGGGGTATGGATAGGCAGGACCAGTGACTCAGTTTTCCACCTGCTTTTCCTGGGAAAGGGGCTGGAACAAGCCCAGGAAACACTCTGGGCTGATGCAGCTCCAAACCTTTCCATTTGCCTTAATAGGTCAAAGACTTACAACCAAGGCACAAGCCTGGGGACACACCAGCATGGGGCTGCTGGTATTCCTGCCTCATCTCTGTCTTGTGGCTTCTCCCCAAAGTCACTGATGAACAAGGGAGCTCTTCCCTGACACTGTCTTGCCGCTGGCTAATGTTCCTCCATTTCTGTTAGTACTACAGAGCTTGGCAGGACGAAAGGGCAAGCAAAACACTAGGTTTCTTTTTGAAACACCTCTGAGTGAGGCAAGTCCCAAGCTGAGCCCATCGAAGGGTGGGTAGTGCTCTTCCTCCATTCCAGGAGGGGCTCTGGGTAGTACAGGCACAGCCAAGGGAAGGACTCCCAGCCTGTCCTACCACAGGCCTGGGATCTGCTCTGCGAGGGCACTGCAGTGAAAGCCAGTACCTCCCATTTTGGTTTTATCGATTCTTAACCCCTGCTCCAGGACACTTTGCCCCCCTCAGCCCAGGCTGATTTTTATGCAGTACCTGAGCTGGACAGTGCCCAAGGCTTGCTGAGAACTTCGAGGCTGTATTTTGGTTACATCTGCTGCTGTTACAGGCCAAAGGCTGCACTGCCCAGAAGCCCCAGCACCACCTCGGGGTCTCTCAGTGCTATGGTTTCTGGGCTTTGCAGTTGCCATTCAGACAAGCACAAACAAGCCCTCTTTTTCCTGCCACCTGGAGGCACTGGCCCCGCTTTTCCCAGGGGCTGGCCAGAGCCTGTGCCTGGAGGGTTGGGACATGGGGCAGAGCCCGCTTGCGGTGCCTTGTTCCTGCTCCACAGACAGCAGGGGATGGAGCAGTGAAAGCTGCTTCCCCAGAAGCCTGGGTTTTATTGGTCAATCCTTTTCTCGTCAACACAACCTGACTGACAAACCAGCAGGTTTTGGTACTTTTGCAAGGCAACTTTTTTCTCTTTTTATTTTATTAAATTAAAAATGTGCTGCATATAGTGCCATGGGTGTAAATGTGGGTTTTTTTTTCCATGTACCTGGAAGGAGGGAAGAGATTTCCAACTCTTCCTGTGTCCCTAGTCTCTCTGGGACAGCAGAGTTGTCTTTACAAATACAGGTGCCTCTCTCTGTCTTTGCCAAGGCTGGTATCAGCCAGGGTTGCACTCAAAGCTGCAAGGCCTGACAGGAGATCCTTGCACACACAACTGGGGAGCACAGCCAGGTTTGGAATGTTGCTTATGCTGGTGGGCACATGGAGCCATTAGCCTGAGCCTAGTTTGGCTCCTAAGTTCTCTGCATGGTGCAACTTAAGGAATTCCCAGTGGGTGTAGCTAGCAAGAGGTGACACAGAAGGCTGCTGAGCACATGCCAGCCAGGGCCACCGGTGCTGTAGCACTTTGTGGGGTGTACTGCAGCAGCCAGAGCCAGGAGAGGCTTGAGATGTGGATGGTCCATCCTCCTGGTATGTGTGGCAAGCCTGGTGAAAAACTGTGTAGGCAAGGGTGAATATGGGTCAGAGACAGGACTGGGGCCTAACACAGCTAGGAAAGCGGGACACTCAGGTGAGGGTTACAAGAGAAACAGGAGGAGACTAGGGACAGTGGTGACTTAGCTGAGCCTGGAGGGATACCAGAGCTGGTGCTGAGCACAGCCCAGGCTTCAGAGCATTTCACTCTTCAGAAGTTTGACCAGTGCTCCTTTTCTAGCTCTGAGCTTTTGGAGGTGCCTCTGCAACCTCACAGCTTTTCATCCTGTCCTACAAATTCACCCAAATGTCTGCACTCACCATCTGCTGACAGACTGAAAATGAATGTGATTTCCTTTGATTAAAAACAAAACAACAAAAACCCACATTGCCAAGTTCGGAATGGGATACAATGGGATAACCTTTCTAATTTAAATGTAGATTTAAACAAAACAGTGGTGGAAAAAGAAAACCCAGGACATTAACTTAAAAAGTTAATTTTTATTGATTCACTATTTGGCAACACTTGCCTATTGAGAGAGAAGCCCTGCTTTTAAACAATTTGCTAGCTCAGCTCCACCACTGCCCTAGCAGGCTGCACCCACACAGCTGCCACACTGGCAGCACAGTCAGTGTCTTGCTGTGCAGCAAGGGATTCCAGCAGGCTCTGCCTCCCTGTTGAAGATGGATACTGGCTAAAGCCCATTCTATTTTGTGCCTGTGGCAGCTGGCATGTGGGCAGCAAGAGAACTTAAATGATGGTGTCACTTTTCTCTGACAAACACCAAGGGCCATTGTGGCCAGGGGTGACAAACCTCAGAGTGTGAGCTCAGTGCAAGGGGCAGCTCAGTCAGAGGTGCTGTCCCAGGCTTCTCATCTAGGACACAGATGGAAAGAAGCCAGATACTGCCCAACACCCAATGGCTGCAGAAAGCCAGAGGGCAGGCTGGAGGTGGGAGGAAAGGAGTTGAGTCTTTGGCCCAACAGCTGAAGAGAGGCAGCTTGACTACAGTCCTGAGCTGTCACTCCACAGCCTGCTCCACACTGCAATGGAACAGGCAGATGGCTCCTGCCGCTGGCCTGCCCCAGAGGTGCTCACTCAAACCAGCCAGCAGCAGCCCAGGCTCAGGCCCTGGCACAGCTCACCCAGCTGACCCACACAGATTGGAAATTTGCTCCCAGGCTGGGGGGGCATGCAGCTCTCCAGGTGGAGAACTACTGCTCTTTGGAGATCACCCCACCTGCACAGCAGGTCATGTGTTCCTTCCACCCACTTCATCTTGCCAGGGCATGGAAGAGATAAAGATCTCCTAAAGCAGGGCTCAGACAAGCATTCAGAGAGGAGACATTTTCCTCAGCAGAGTAGGTATGAAACACAAGAGACCCCACCATGTAAATCATCAATTCTTTAATTCCAGTAGAACAAAATTCCAGAAAAATAATCAAACAAAACCCAACCGAAATACATTATGCTATCCTGGGGCTTCAGGGAGGCAGCAGTTTGGAGGAAGGGCTCTCCCACCCCAAAGGAATAAGAACAGTGTTTGATGCCTACTGGTAACATGGGACACTCCATGAAGGGGAGAGGGGAAGCCTGATGCCTCCTCACACCTCCTCTCCCCATCAGCTGTTTCTACACAAGCAGAAAGACACAGAACAAACAGGCCTCAGACTACCTGAATCACTACTAACAAACAGGGAATCATGCCCTCCTGCACCCTGCCAAAAACAACCCAAACCAAACAGAGCCAAAAGAATAGACACCACCAAGAAGTCAGTAGCAGCTGGTGGGAGCAGACCATCTAGATAGAGCAGAGGTCTGGCAGGTGAAGGAAGAACCTTCCTCCTTTAGTCTACCTCTTCCATGCGGGATGTATCTTCATCTCCCTCCAGAGGGGGGATTTCCTCAGGGACAGCTGCACTGGGCTCCTCTGCAGCCACCTCATCTTCATCTATGCCTGGGAGAGGGGAGGAAAGGAAGAGATAAGTCTCCAAATGACATCTAATCCCAGATGTACAGCCTCTCCCAGAGTAAACCTGGCTCCTGCCCCCAGCCTGAGGAATGGGGCTATTAGCATCCAATAGTTCACAAAATCATAGAATATTCTGATTCGGAAGTGACCCACAAGGATCACTGAAGTCCAGCTGCTGGCTCTACACAGGACAACCCCAACAATCACACTGTGTGCCTCAAGAGTGTTATCCAAACACTTTTGAATGCTGGCTTGGTGCTGTGACCACTTCTCTCGGGAGTCTGTTCCTTGGCCAACCACTCTCTGGGTAAGAAACCTTTAATATCCAACCGAAAACTCTCCTGACAAAGCTTCATGTTTCCTCAGGTCCTGTTACTGGTTACCACAGAGAAGATAGCAATGCAAGCCCCTCTGCTTCCCCTGGTGAGGAAGCTGTACACTGCAATGAGGTCACCTCAGTCTCCTTTCCTGCGGGCTAACAACTAATAATTGCAAGTCAACATTGTTACAAGTTATTGTCAACTCTAGCGCTAACCCTGAATCAGCAGCATCCTCCCAGTAACAGCTACACCAGTATATGGATACTACCTATGCCATTAGAGTGCACTCCTCAGCCAATTAAGATTAACTACAAAAGACTTGTTACCCAGCACCACAAAACCTGGAGTTTAGGCCAGGAGAATGTGGTTTAAGCCATTTCTCTAGAGAAAAATGCAGTAAATCCAGTCAAGTCACAACTAAAGCAGTTGCAAGACTCTAGAGCTCGTCAGTTTCCAACCCTGCAGGTTTCTGTTTCAGTGGACTCTGAACAGAAAATTGTACTACCGTACAGTCCCCTTACCTGCAACTTGACTAACAGAACACCCTACTCCTACTGAGACTAGGCAGCACAGAGTTACTAACTTAGTTGTGCCAAGCCACAGCACCTTCTGATTTAAATTTTTAGCTAAATGGTGAATTTGGAGGAAAAGGCTGTGTACAAGCACAAGCTGTTTCTCCAGATGGGTCACATGACCCATGACAGACTTTTCACATTTACTCTGAAGGAATAAAAAGCCTCAGCTTGTCATCTGAACATTGTGATGGCTCCTGGTGTTGTGGAGGACAGGGCAGTCCACCCAGAGTCCTGAGCCCTCCTGAAGTACCTTGTTCCAGGCTTACACTTTCTCCTGGCCACCTTATGTAAAGAGCCACTGCAGCACATCATAGCAGCATGGCTCCCTTACTGGCTTGCCCCGGCCCCGAGACACTAGCCTGACCAGTTAATGTGCCTTCAGGCCTGCTGCAGCATGAGAAGTTCATGGATACTCACCAAGCCCAAGTTTGATCATCCTGTAGATGCGGTTGGAGTGGGTCTGGGGATCTTCCAGGGAGAAACCAGAAGACAGCAGAGCAGTCTCAAAGAGCAGCACCACCAGATCTTTAACAGCTTTGTCATTCTTGTCAGCATCAGCCTTCTGGCGAAGGGTTTCTACAATTGGGTGGTCAGGGTTGATCTCCAGGTGCTTCTTGGCCATCATATAGCCCATGGTAGAGTTGTCCCGCAGTGCCTGAGCCTTCATGATGCGCTCCATGTTGGCTGTCCAACCGTAGGTGCTGGTGACGATGCAGCAGGGAGACGAGACCAACCGGTTTGAGACGGTGACCTGCCAACATAGCCGAGGGTTAGCTGAGTAAGGCCCCCCTAAGCCCTGGACTGGGCCCAGCCACAGCACACTACAGCCCAAGTCTTTGCCCCTGGTTCACCTGGGGACACCCCAAAGCAAGCAGAGATGCTCCAAGCAGCTCCAGGACTGCTACAGACTAATTTGGACAGCTCAGCCAGCACTTAGAGCACCCACTGCATGTTTCCCACACTTACCCTCTCCCATCAATGCACGTATTTGGGTCAGTGCCCCTCGCCTGCAGCCTGGCTGCTTAGAGCAAGATGGTGCATGCTGGGACCTCCAGTCTCCTCTAGCGGCTCCTCTGCAGGAGATGAGAGGCATGCATTGAGCGGGGGCCCTCACCTGCAGCACGGAGGACCCAGCCCTCCTCCCTCCAGCACAGGGCTAAGCTCCCTGTCCATCTCACCTTCTCCACCTTCTTGTCCAGGATTTCCTTCATAAGTTTGCAGAGGTTCTCAAACTTGGCCTTGCTCTCCTCCATCTTTTTTTTCTCTTCCTCATCCTCAGGCAGCTCCAACCCCTCTTTGGTGACTGATACCAGGGTCTTGCCATCAAACTCCTTGAGCTGCTGCACGCAATACTCATCGATGGGCTCTGTCATGTATACCACCTCAAAGCCACGCTTCCGCACACGCTCCACAAAGGCTGAGTTAGCGACCTGCTCCTTACTCTCCCCTGTGTTTGTGGAGGGTAGAAATGAAACATCACCAAGAGGTTACAGCAGGACAAACACCACCAGTCACTTGGGACCCCTAAAATAAAACTGGCAGCAGCCAGGGTTCTAGGCCTGCTGTCCTTTCCCCAGCCCCCAGGAATGAGCTGCAATTCAGCAGGGATGACCTGCTGAAGGCAGCAGGAAGTGTTTTAAATTAGGGTCCGTATGCAGGTTACCTGCCTCTGCCTTGCTAGGCTCAGAGGAGCTCTGGCTCACCTGTGATGTAGTAGATGCTCTTCTGATTCTCCTTCATACGGGACACATACTCGGAGAGCGAAGCCACCTCATCGCCTGACTGGGACGTGTGGTACCGCAGCAGCTCCGAAAGGCGCTTTCGGTTGGTGGAGTCCTCATGGATGCCCAACTGGGGGCAGAAGAGACGCATGAAGTCTCCAGGATAGGACTTGGATGCGCTTGGCTGGCCCTGAGGCACAGCCATCTGCCCAGCTCCTGATCATTTGGGTGTTTGGCCTAGGGCAGCCAGAGGGGACAGGTGCCCACAAAGGCACTCTGAAGCATTCGCAAGACCCAATCCCTTTATCCTAACATCCATGCAGAGGAGACAGAGCAGAGGAACAAGATTGCTCCTCAGGCAGATGGGTCATGGGCCCTTCCCTCCTCCAGATGTAGGGTGCCCAACTCACCTTCAGATTCTTGGAAAAAGCTTCGTAAAATTTCTTGTAGTTCTCTTTATCTTCTGCCAGCTCAGAAAAGAGCTCCAAGCATTTCTTCACAATGTTTTTGCGTATCACTTTGAGGATCTTGCTCTGCTGGAGCATCTCACGAGAAATGTTCAGAGGAAGGTCCTCCGAGTCCACAACACCCCGGATGAAGTCTGCATAGGGCGAATGAAAACAGGTGTCAGGTTAAAGATTCTGAGCTCCAACAAAGAAAGAAAAGAACTAAAACACTGACTGCTATGCACCCATACCAGCCAGTGCCTCATCCAGTCCCTCTGTACTGGAAGTGGTACCACAGGCTGTGGGGATTCCAGCTCTGCACTGGGAGGCTGAGGCAGGGGGCTCTTACTTAGGTATTCAGGGATGAGCTCATCACAGCTGTCCATGATGAAGACCCGCCTCACATACAGCTTGATGTTGTTCTTCTTCTTCTTGTTCTCAAAGAGGTCAAAAGGGGCACGGCGCGGGATGAAAAGCAGGGCCCTGAACTCCAGCTGCCCTTCCACAGAGAAGTGCTGTGGAACCAGGAAAAAAAAACAGCTGCTGGGGTGTTTCACTTCTCCTTTCCCCAGCTCCCACAGCAGGAAGGCTGAACTGCCACTCCTCAGCATGGGACTGGCAAGGGGGCACAGCAACATCTCTAGCATCCAAGCAGCCTGTATTTCCTCCTGCTCAGGCCCACTATCCCCTATGTGCCAAGGTTCCCTGGCATACAGCAGGCTTGGACAGAGAAATCAGTGCTTCTCTGAGACCCCACATCCTCCTGTCTTGCTTATGGACTGGCACTGCCAATCCTTCCACCTGCATGGCAGTCAATGCAGGTTGCTCCATCACCAAGTGGCCTGAGAGTGCTCAGTCCCACAGAGGCACAACCATATGGTGACTCTGGATAAGGGCTGGAAAAGGGCCCTTTGCCTCTCCCTGGAAGGCAGGGTAGCCCAGCACCCACCTTGACAGCCAAGTGGTCCTCCCAGTCATTGGTGAGGCTCTTGTAGAACTCGCCATACTCCTCCTGGGTGATGTCATCGGGATTGCGGGTCCAAATTGGTTTGGTCTTGTTCAGCTCCTCCTGGTCAATATATTTCTCCTTGATTTTCTTGGTCTTTTTCTTCTTGCCTTTGTCTCCCTCCTCCTCCTCATCAGAGCCCACATCCTCGATTTTGGGTTTCTCTTCATCTTTGGACACTGACTCTTCCTCCTTCTCATCTTTCTCCTCCTCTGCTTCATCATCACTGATTTCTTTCTCACGTTCTTTCTCCAGCTGTGGAGAAAGAAACAAGCAATAGTCAGGTTTAGCCTGAAGTTACCAGGAATCCTTTAGCTCTAGATGAAAAAAATGGTATCCTCCAAGGTCAAACAAATGCATCATCTGGAATGAAAGCTCTTGGAACCAGTCCTCAAAAGCCTCTCATCACGCAACCAAAAGCTGTGCCTGAGAAAAGTGGCAGGAACCCTTTTTCCATGGCTGATTTTAGATGATCTTCAGCTGCAAAGACCAAAGGCCTTTAGTGTGGCTGGATACCCACCTCCTCCACCTCCAGTAAGCCCCCAGCCTCAAACCACCTTTGGCCACAGAAGCTGAGAGCACCACTGCTCAGTACCCAGCAGCCAGGAACTGCACAAGGGACCAGAAGGCATCGTACTCTGGGCCTATTCTGTGCTCCTGTTTCAAACACCACCACCCCTGCCTCCAGCTTTCCATCTGGTCCCCACAGTCCTTCCCTTACGTACATAGAGCGTGATGGGGTAGCCAATGAACTGGGAGTGCTTCTTCACCACCTCCTTCACACGACGCTCCTCCAAGTACTCAGTCTGGTCCTCCTTCAAGTACAGGATCACTTTGGTGCCACGTCCAATGGGCTTACCTGCAATGTGGGGAGAGAAACATCAACATTTCAGGGCAGAGAGCAAGCGTGACCAGCTCCTTGAGCCTAAACATTATGTGACAGCCAGCATTAACCAGTGTGACTGACAGTGCAGCAGGGCTCTAGGGAGTACCAGCAGAAGGGGTGCTGCTGGCAGGAAAACGTGCTTGGTTTTTTGTACAATACGCACCATGGTCAGTTCGGACAGTGAATGAGCCCCCAGCTGATGACTCCCAAGCATACTGCTCGTCATCATTGTGCTTGGTAATGACAACCACCTTCTCAGCCACCAGATAGGCAGAGTAGAAACCCACACCAAACTGCCCGATCATGGAGATGTCTGCGCCAGCCTGTGAAATCAGAGAGCAGCTGCTAAGACCAGTGTGGAGGTAGAAAATGTCTGTGACTGATTCACAGCAGCAAAGAACTGGGTCAGGCACATGGAGAAAAACATGCAAGTGCGAACAGGCAGCCAGCTCTACCCTCAGCTCCTCCCTGGTGTTGGAAAGATAGAGGAAGCACACGTGAGTAGGCCAACATTTCCCATGGCAAACAAGGCAGCAGGGCCATTTTATTGTTTATTTATTATTTGTACATTCAGTGCCAGCCTGTGACCCAGGTGCCAGAGAACCCATGCAGCCAAAGGCAACCCACCTGCAGGGCTTCCATGAAGGCTTTGGTCCCAGATTTGGCAATGGTGCCCAGGTTGTTGATGAGGTCTGCTTTTGTCATCCCAATGCCAGTGTCCACCAGGGTCAGTGTGCGGTCCCGGGGGTTGGGGATGATGTCAATTTTCAGGTCTTTCCCACTGTCCAGCTTGGAAGGGTCGGTCAGGCTTTCATAGCGGATCTTATCCAGGGCCTAGGGGAGAAAGGGATGCTCGACACAGCCTCCCTACTCGACAGTCTCCTCCGTCCCTCCCTGCACAAGCCTTCCCGGAGAGCCGGGAATCGGCCTCTCCCCGGGCACCCCTGGAAGGACACCAGCCCGACCCCGACCACCCGGCAGAGGAAGGAGCCCACTCCCCCCCGGGCTCACGTCGGAGGCGTTGGAGATGAGCTCCCGCAGGAAGATCTCCTTATTGGAATAGAAGGTGTTGATAATGAGCGACATGAGCTGGGCGATCTCCGCCTGGAAGGCGAAGGTCTCCGCATCTTCCTCCTCGTGCTGCACTTTCTCGGGCATCTATAAGACAAACACATGCCTATTTTCAGTGCATTTTCAGGGTATGAGAACCAGAGAGAGGGCGGCGGAGGCGTCAGGCCCAGCCCCACGCTCCGTCCGGTCCCTACCGTCTCGGGCGTGAGGGACCGGCGAGAGGGCTACAACCCCTCACCGGCCGCTTTTTATAGGCTCGGAACGAGGGGGAGCCTCACGGCACATTGTATCCTTCCGCCTTAAAGGGGTCTTGGTCAGCGAACCACAGATCGATGGTGTGTGGGAGGCACCGGCGTTGCTGTTTAGCGGCCGCCATGGCGGGGGCGGGCGTGCAATGAATGCTCGGCTTCATGCTGCCGTTTTGCAGGCGTCAGCCGCGGCTCCCCGCCGCCCTTCGCCGCGACGCTCGGAGGGCAGCAGGACCGGGACCTCCTAGCGCCACGGCGAGGGGCGGCGGGGAGCCCCGGCGAGGAACTCTTTTCCGCACCCCGTCGCGGAGGAACACAGCTGCGGCTAGAAAACCACTTCCAGAGTATTCCACAGAGCTTATGGCGGCGCCTCTTGGGCTCTATGGCTGGCGCAGGGCAGCGGGAATCCGCAGTGCCCCGGCTTCATCCTGCAGCTCCCCCCGAGGCCGGGAGCCGCGTAGCTCTGCCGGCCTGAAGCTGCGTGGAGCCGCAGTACAGCGGGGAAGGGGCGGGGACAGAAGGTGTCAGGGCCGGAGTGTATGGCAGGCCCGTGTCGCTGCTGCAAAACAGTGTTTGGAGACGTTGTCTTTTCAGTGTTCAAGGGAAATAATAATAGAAATCAATCTTAAGTCTTTCCATTCCAGTATCTGCAGTACTCTGTCTGCTTCTGAGCTTCTCAGTGCAAGAGAGACATGGAGCCCCTGGAGCCAGTCCAGCAGAGGGTAAAAAAGACGATTAAGATACAGGAGCATCTCTCTTAAGAGGAAAGGATGAGGGAGCTGGGCCTATTCCGCCTCGAGATGGCTGAGAGGGGAGCTCATCAATAAGTATCTCAAGGGAGGGTGTGAAGGACAGAGGCAGGCTCTGCTCGGTGCTGCCGAGTTAATAGGACAAGAGGCAGAAACCACAAACTGATGCACAGGAAATAATACCTGAAAATGAGGAAGAACTTTACTGTGTGGGTGACTCAGCACTGGAACAGATTGCCTGCAGAGATTGTGGAGACTCCATCACTGGAGATGCTCAAGAAGTGTCTGGACACAATCCTGTGCCCTGTGCTCTAGGCTGACCCTGCTTAAGCAGAGGTGGTGGACCAGATGATCCACCATGTGGTGCCTTCCAACCTGACCTACTCTGTGATTCTGTGTTGAAGCTGTGGGTACAAAAGCCCTGACCAGCAAAGGAAGCTGGAAGTGGGATGGGGGATCCGAGCTCCCACATGGGTTTTGGTGCCTGGCAGTGCAAAGAGGTGATGGCTGTGAATGATGTGGGACAGAGGGAGGGGGATTCCCACTGGCAGGCTGGTGTAGTTCACTCCAGGAGCAAGAGGTGGCACTCTGGCTGTTCCCAGGCACGAGGAAAGCTCCCAGATGCAGTGCTGCAGGTCACTGCACCTCAAAATATGAAGGTCCATCTGCTCTTTATCAGAGGTGTCAGTGGTCCCTTGTTATACCTCGAGGGCAGCATCCCTGAGGTGCTGGTGGATGAGAGGCTGGCCATGAGTTCACCATGAGCAGTCACAGCTCAGAAAGACAGTGGTGTCCTGGGCTGCATCCAGAGCACTACAGCCAGCAGGACAAGGGACAGTTTTCTGCCCCTCTGTTCTGCTCTGGTGAGAGCCCACCTGCAGTGCTGCATCCAGCTCTGGAGTCCCCTGCACAGGAAGGACTTTCACCTGTTGGAGATAGTCCATAGGAGGAACAGCAACATGATCAGAGGGATGGAGCACCTCTCCTACAAGGGATGTCTGAATTTGGATCGTTCAGCCTGGAGAAGGGTTTGGTGTGACCTAATTGTGGCCTTCCAGTACCTGATGGGCACCTACAATAAAGATGGACAGGGACAAAGAGTATGTCATTACAGGACAAAGGGGAGTGGTTTCAAACAGAGGGAAGGTTTAGATGTTGGGCAAGAAATTTATTACTCTGAGGGTGGTGAGGCACTGGAACAGGTTGCCCAGAGAAGCTGTGGATGCCCCATCCCTCAAAGTCTTCGGGGCCAGGCTGGATGGGGCTGCAGTAATCTGGTGTGTGGAAATTATCACAGCCCGTGGCAGGGGTTTTGGAACTGGATGATCTTCAAGCCCCCTTGCAACCTGAACCATTCTGATTTTATGGTTCTACGATCCCCTTCCCACACTGGCTGTGTCCTCATGGCTGGGCCTGGCTGTGCAGGGCATGCACGCACCATTCCCACCATTTCTGATGCTGCCTGCATGGAACTACAGGGTGGTAAGGAAATGCCAGTGCCTTCTCACTTCAACCCTTGGTCCTCCACAGCCCCTCTCCCCTGTGGCGACAGAGACAAAAATACATACCCAAAGGAGCATTTTGTTCTTTTTATAGAAAATGGCAACTGTATAGACACATTTACGTGACAAGGGACATGAAAGCCAAGGGAGAGGTGAGGCCTTCCCTTGTAGCACACATGGGTAGGGAAGGCAGCTTTGTTGGGAAGGGAGTTGCTGCTTTTCCTCTTGTAACCCACAGTAGAACCTCCTGTCACACAACCAGGAGGCTGAAAAAAAAAAAAAACCAATGTCAGAATCACCAAAAAAAAAAGGGAAGAGAGGCAAGGAGAGGGGGAGAAGGTGGGGTGTGGAGACCTCCTCCTCCCTCAGCCTAGCCATGGTGTTGGCTCTTTCTGTGGCTGGGACACAGATGTCTACACTTCAGGGATACCACTGGTCAGGGGGATGTGCGTATAGCAGAGAGCAGGGATGGCAAGGCTGGCTGGGGCTCTCCTCGCCATTCACAAGTCTGTCAGCAGGAGGAGGGCTGTGGGATATTTCCAGGCCCCCTAGGAGGAGAGGAGAGAATCTCCTAGGTGCTTTGGAGACAAGGGCAAGAGGAGTAACACTAGTTACCAGCCTTTCACTCTCTCAGAGAGAAAGAGGCTGAAAATGGCTTTTGGCCTTGAGCCAGGGAAGTTATGCAGCATGGGAGGCAGCTGGACTTCTTGGAGATCCCGGGGGTCTTACAACACACACAGCATGGGGAAGGAGAAGGCACGTAGGCCTGAGGGCATCACACAGCTGAGCGTGGCAGGAACCAGGCCAGCCCTGCAGGAGTGGAACCGTCCCTGGCTGTAATGTCTGCTGTGGCAGTGTGATTTGGCAGGGACAGGTGTGAGCTGTTATTTCCCCACAGTGCTGAGGTGTCCAGGGCCTCAGTGGAGGATGCGGAGCCATCTCTTGGTGTCCCTGCACCCTCTGTGTGCCTCTGCTAGATGAGAAGTCGGACCAGAAAGGAGACAGCAGCTCCTAGGGCCAGACCCAGTGACAGGAAAAATGCCATGACAGCTCCAGCGGTCTCTGCTTCGTGCACAAGCACTTTCCTAGGGGAGAAACAGGTGTCAGATCCATCCTCAGGATGCATGTCCAGTGCCCCGCTGTTCAGTGGAGCTGGGAGGCTTGTAGCAGAGGAATGGCAAGAAGAAATCCCTCTTGGCTCCTAGAGCCACAAGAACTCCAAGTCTCCTCACTGTTGGCTCATAAAGTGCATCAGGTATGCCACCCTGAAGCTCCTGGCACCAGGGACATTCCTCTCTGACTCCTGTGGGGCTCCTTGTGCTCCCTGTGCTGGGGAAGGCTGCTCACCCTGCTGTGGGCACTGTGCCATGCTCTGCTCCCCTCCAGATCCCCGCTGCATCCAGCCCCTTCCCCTGTGTGGCAGAGCCCAGATAGCTTCCTCATCCCTAGGATATGGAGGCACAAGCCTGGGAGATGGGACACTGTGGGTAGTGACAATTCCCTTCTGTGCCTGTGGCCTCTTCTCCAGATGCCAGAGCTGGGCAGAGCTAGACTCCACAAGTCATTCCAGGGCTGGCATCTGGGGGCATAACCAACCCTTCCCTTGTCCCCAGCTCACACTCACTTTGGCCCGAAGCACATGCAAAGGCTGGCCAGGTAGCCATTGGAGATGGAGAAGAAGATCATGAAGATGATGTACCAGGCGTCATGAGAGAACACAACAGGCAGGTAATAACGGGGTTTCACGTTGCACAGCATGAAAAGAGGGACAAAGATGACACGGAGGACCACCATCACTGGCAGGAGGCAGCTGTTCATCCCGGGCTGGGAGAAAAACACAAATTGCTGAGCAGCTGAGAACTAGACATTCCCCATCCCATGGCGTGCTGGCAGGGGCTCTGCAGAGGCTGTCCCTGCTGCGCCAGGGCTGTGGAGGAGCCACAGAGATGGCAAAGCTGCTGAGAGACTTTCTTGGCTACAACAAATCCCAGTGTCACCACCTGCAGTCATAAGTAGGTTCTAGGTCTGAAAGCCCTGTTGCAGGTGACTTCAAGCAGCACTAGAGCCAAAATACTGAGCCGCGCTTGTGGGCAACTGTTAAGCCCCTGCTGGCAATAGACAGGCAGGCAAGAGAGCTTTGTGCACGCTCAGGCCGTGAGCCAGTGTGCAGAACAAGGGTGGCTGAGGTAAAGCCCCTCTGGCACCTCAGCGCCTGCAAACTGGGCTTTAGCCAGCTCTCCAGCATCCTACACCATCCCCCAGCAAGCAGGGCAAGATCCAGCAATCTGAGAAAGGGATTATGCTGGGGCTGTTTTGGAATGTGCTGGGAAAGGCGTGGACCAAGTTACAGTCTCCTTAGATTCTACCAGAGTTCCTGAGCAACTAAGGCTGGGACAAAGAAGGAGGTACCATCCCCCTGTGTTGTCCCTGCAGCTGGGACTAAGGAGCCCCTGGACTGCGACAGACCTCATCCCCTCAGTGAGGTGCCCGGTTCACAGATGACAGGGTTCATTGATCTGAGGTGAGGAGAGACCCACAGCTGCCTTGGGAGCTGCTGGGCTGGCGTGGCCACAGGAAACTCCATGAACACAGGAGGAAACTGAGGTTAGGCCAGCTGCCGTGTCTATGGGGCAAACTGGAGACAGCAGCTGCCTCTCCTGCTTGAGGAGAAAAAGAGTGAGTGGGGCCCCAACCAGGGAAATGTGGCCCAAACCACATGCAGTCAGACTTTCCACACAGCCTTGTTTTGGAAACATCTCCTGCTGGGTCATCCTGCCATGGAGGCTGTGGCCTGGACACCAGGCAAGGCGGCTCGTGGCCAAGACCGAAGGCAACAAGCAGTGATGGCCAGCGGAGAAGCAGCTCCAGGCCATGGGGAAGGCAGGCTCAGGCAGACCCCATGTGGGACGTGGTCCTAAGGAGCTTCTCTAAACAAACAGCCTGAACAATACAGGGGGAAACAGTGCTTGGGGGGGGGTGGGTGAAGGGGCAGGAAGAGACCCAGACAGGAAAGCCCCTTTCCTTGCCCATCCTGAGGAGATGAGAGCAAGGGGATGTGGCAGGGGACAGTTGTATGACACACATGGCATGGCCCTGCCCTGGTCTCAGGACAAGGGTCTTTGAAGCAGCTGTGTCCTGTGCCAAGGCCAGAGGTTTTATTTTGGGCTGCCCTGTCTTTCACCCTCTTTCCCTGTCGCCATCCTGTCTCGTCTTTTGCATAGCTGGAGTGAAGGTTTGTTTACAGAGAGGCTGAAATGGAGGAGGCAGCTTCATCCAAGCCATGCTGAAAGAGAGGTGGGAGGACAGAACAACACTGTGGTTCTCGGCTCTGACCCATAAATCTGCACTTAGAATTTAAAGCAGCAGTTATCTCTGCACCTCCTTCCTGCTCCAAGCCATGGATGGCAGCCCCAGTGACAGCTGTGGCTGAAGGACCTAGGGATAGACACTGTGTGGCATTTGCTCCCTGCCCCATACTTACCCACGTGAAGAGGGCAGTGAGACTGCGTCCTGTCCAGTCGAAGACGTTAAAAAGCAGGAAGCAGGAGACAGGAATGAAGTAGAGACCTGAAGAACGGGATGGTCAGTGAGAAGCCAAGTATGCCCCAATCCCTCATACCCACTGCACGGAGACTGACTGTCTTTCACGTCAAGGTCCTACCAGTTTCCCACCAAGGCCTGGAACGGTCTCCCAGCCAGGCTGGTGTTGACATCCAAACCATCACGCACAGTGGTTCCCTCTTCCCTTCCAGCATTCTGTATTGGGTTTGTGTGGCAAGGTTTTGGTAACAAGGTGGGCTACAGGGGCAGCTTCTGAGAGAAGCTGCTAGAAGCACCCCTATGTCTGACAGAGCCAATGTCAGATGGCTCCAAGACAGACCCACCACTGGCGAAGGTCATCAGTGACAGTGGTAGGGCCTACGGCTGACATATTAAAAAGCGAAAAAAACCTCTCAACATGTGCAATTGCACCCAGAGAGAGAAGTGAGAATATGTGACAGAAACAGCTCTGCAGACACCAAGACCAGTGGAAAAGGAGGTGGAGAAGGCACTCCAGATGTCAGAGCAAAAATTCCCCTACAGCCTGTGGTGAAGACCATGGTGAGACAGACTGCCCTCCTGCAGCCCAAGGAGGTCCACGGTGAGTCAATATCCACCTGCTGCCTGTGAAGACCACCCTACTCTGAAGCAGGTTTGCCGGCAGGACACTGCAGGGGACCCATGCTGGAACAGTCTGTTTCTGAAGGACTGTGTCCCATGGAAGGGACCCAGGCTGAAGCAGTTCATGAAAAACTGCAGCTCATGGGAAGCACTCACATTGGACTTCAAGGAGGACTGCCTCCCATGAGAGGGTCCCCATGTTGGAGGAGGGGAAGAGTGGGAGGTGTTCTCCCCCTGAGAAGGAAGCAGTGGCAGAGGAAATGTGTGAAGAACTGAATGCAACCCTCATTCCCCATCCTCCTGCACTACTGCAGAGGGAGGAGATAAAGAAATCGTAAATAAACTTAAGCCTGGGAAGAAGGGAGGGGTGAGTGCAAGGTGCTTCAAGATTTAGTTTTTATTTCTCATTATACCACTGTGATTTGACTGGTAAATAAATTAATTTTCCCCAAGTTGAGTCTGTTTTGCCTGTGACAGTAATTGATGAGCGATCTCTCACTGTCCTTATCTCGACCCAAAAGCCTTTTGTCATATTTTATCTCCCCTGTCCAGCTGGAGTGGCTTTGGTGCGCACCTGGCATCCAGACAGGGTTACCCCACCACACATGCCTTCAAGCCCCACCTCCTTTTCTCCCATTTACCTTGTTCTCAGTTTTTTCCTACCTCGCCCCCATTCCTGGCACACTTACCCCATTTGTTTCCCTCTCCGAGGACAGTGGACACGTTAGCTGTGATGGCAGGAAAGACGCCGATGGTGACAGTGAAGACGAAGCAGACAGACAGAGCCAAGACCCAGAGCTAGGCAGATGAAAGAAAAATGCTGGTACCAAACACAGGGCAAGAGACCAGTGCAGGGCTGGTCTCCTCTCCCCATGCTCTCCTACACCTGTGCCCATCCTGGAAGGAAGGACAGGACAAGGCTCGCTGGAAACTCACAGACCTTCTTAAAAATAGCAATGACAGAGGGCTGCTCATCAGGGTTGTGGATAGGGATGATCTTTGAGTTATTCTGCTCCATCCCGTTCTCGTCTGCAGGGAGAGACACAAGTAGGGCACAGCAGACCCCAGAAAGCCGCAATCTAATTCAGTCCTTCTTTCTTTAAGCTCTTTCCCTTTTCTCTTCCTTCTCTCAGCCCCTCACCTTTCTTAATCAGGTCTCTCTTGGTCTCCAGCTCTGCATTGTACACGCGGTACTCTGTCTTGTCCTTCATGGAGTAGTATCGGAAGAAATCCTGCAGAGAGACAGTGGGGAAGACTCATTCATGCATGCAGAAAGAAGGCTGCCAGGGGCTGTGTGACAACAGCAGATATGGGCAATATGGGCTAAAGCATTCCTTCCAATTATTGCCTGATATTGATGCTTTCCTGCTTACCCAGGGACTCAGATACCCCAAGTATACTGGGGTATCTGTGGTGGGAAGTATCCCAGAGTGCTCCCTTGGGACACAGGAGAACCTGCCCTGACACAAGAAGTGAAGGCTGCTAGTGGGCCATGGTTCTTGTGCTGGGATGCACAAAGGTCCAACGTTCCCAAGCCCTTCCCTACCAGGACAGCAGTCTCACCATGTGAGGCAGAACTACGTAGGAGACGATTGCCAGCACGATTGTCACACAGGCCGTGGTGAAGTAACCGATGAAGCTCTCGGGTTGCTGGGCACCAACTGAGAGCACAGGAAGGGAGAGGAAAGGAAGATGATGACAGCTGAGAGGAGCAAAGCCCTGCTGCCATCTTCCACATAGCATGACCTCGGCACATGCTGTGACAGCAGTGGTCTGGGAAGGCCCTGTCACCTGCAAGGCAGGGATTACTCACTGGCAATACTGCAGATCATTGCCAAAGCAGCGAATGTGCCTGCCAAACCCTGCCCACTCATGATGGGAGCCGTGTAGCTGACAGGCAGGAGCCCTGCCAGCCCAAACAGGCTGCTCTGAAGAATGGCGCCGAAGGCTGCAAAGGGGAAAGATGAGCAGATATGAGAAACCAAAGGCAAGGACGGACTGCACCTCTGCAGGGAACCAAGGCCCCTGCCCTGCGAGGCAAGGCAAGTCCCCCTCCCCCTTGGCTCTCCCACAGTGAGGTTCATGCTTTTCTCCCAGAGGGATCAGCCCTAGCCATGTCCCTCTCCTTCCCCCACTGCTTCACTCACAGTTGATGAAGACAATGCTGATCATGGTAAAGACGAAGAAGGGAAGAGGCTCCATGGGGACTTTCACCATGATCGCGGTGACTAAAAATACCAGCCCAATGGCCACCAGGCTGCCTGAGATACGGATCTGCTGGGGAATCCTACAAAAGAAGGTCTCAGTGAGGAAAACCCAACCCCCTAAAAACCTGGGGCTGGGACCAAGCTCTAACTGTGGGATCCCAGCCAAACCCTGAGACAGGAGACTGGTGTTTTGCCTTTGACTGGGCTGTAGCTTGGCTCAGTGCTGGGACAGGAGAACAGGTCAGGGCAGGGTGGCCCTATGGGGACTGGCAGGGGCAAGGACAGAGCAAGGCTCACCGCTGATGGATGAAGGAGTTGAGGCAGGTGAAGATAAGGAGGGGCACCATGGCGCAGAGAGTCATGAAGTTGTCAAACACAGACTGCAGGTAGGAGGGTGTGAAGGTGGCCTCACCAGTCTGGTTCCTGACGTGGCTCGTCTCCTCCGGGTCCGCAAGGCGCTTGATGAAATACTGCAAAGGAAGGAGCCTAGTGGGGCTGAGATTCTGTGAGGCCTTCCAAGGCCACCCTTATTCTTTGTTCAGACCCATGCCCATCCCTTCTGCTGCCTCAGTGCCACTCGTCACACCCAGGTCACGCACGCTTGTGGTCCTCTGCATGCTGTGCCATGCTACCACATCTATACCATGGTCCCTAGACACGACAGGGGACAATTACTGTCATGGACAACAGCAGGAGGGAAGCCCTCACCTCTCTGGCAGTCATGAAGAAATTCCATGGCAGCAGTGTTCCCAGGCCGAGGATGAAGAAGATCAGCCAGACAGCCTTGTACCTGTGAAGGGGACAGAGTGGGGTTTGGAGTGGAAGCTGGGTATTGCTTCCAACTGTCCCTGACCCTGTGGTAGGAGGCACCAGACAATATTTACTGCCCTGCCCCACAGCCCTTGCTAGCCTGGGCTGCCAGAGATGTGGTACTGCAGAGGGGCCCTCCCCAGGAGGCTACGAAGGCAGAGAGAGGTTGGCTGCTCCTCAGCATGTGGCACCCAGATACACAGCATCCAGCACAAGGTGTGGGAGGGAGTTAGGCTCCCCAGGCGTGTTTACAGGGGACTATTTACAGTTTACAGCCCATTTGCTGTGGCAAAGCTTAGAAAGAAGGGACAGCTTGGTAGCCCAGTTAGCATGCAGGAGAGGGTGTCTCCCAGATGCTGGGTCCCCCTGTCCTGTCTCAGCTCCTGGTATCCTGGATGTGCCCCCTCAGCAACATCAGAACCCACCATTACCTATCTTGGGGCCCGTCTCTTGCTGTCATCTTGTGTGGCAAGAGTTAGCACAGGTCCCAGCAAGTCTTATGGCTGCTCTCCGTCTGGAAAACAAACAAGATTTTATGGGAAAGTGAGAGACACATGCCAGGCAGGGCCAACACTGGTTTTAACCCCAACCCATGCTGCCAGTAAGTGTTCCACAGTACTGGGAGTCAAACACCAACCCAGAAAACGATGAGAGGACAATGCAGGAGCTTTGAAAACCTGCAGCTCAGAGTCCTTAAGCCAAGGGGCTGTGGCACACAGCCTTATTCTGCTAGCCAGGCACAGCAAGCCTTCCCTCCAAAAGGAAACTGCTTTCCCAGGCTGCTCATGCTGGCTGCCCAGCTGCTTGCAGTAGGCTCTTAAGGGATTTGTGAGCCTGCAGCTCTCTGTCCCCAATCCTGGGGCTGTGAGTGAAGCATGTGCGCAGTGGGCTGTGTCTGCCCACCCTGCCCGCCCCTGCTCCCTCCAATGCCCCGGGCAGGCTCGGTGGCACAAAAGATACATTTAATTCAGCAGCCTCTCCGGCCAGAACCAGCAAAACTCCCGTTTTCAATTCCACTTCCCTGGGGCTCTCACAGCCCTTTCCTGGGTCACCTTGAAAAGCCAAGGGCGTCCCTGGCACTGCTGTCCCCTCCCGAGCACCCACCGCTCCTTTTTTCCAATCACCACCTGCCCAGGCGCTGCACCGCTCAGGTATCGCTCTGAGACCCCAGAGACCTGGTCCCCAGAGCCCCGAGAAGAGACTTTCCCTCCCCGGTCCCCCCCTCTTCCCGGGGCAGAGTGGGATTAGCCGCCAGGAGGAACCGCAGGCCTGCCTTGTCCTTTTCCAGTCGGGGCGGCGCAGCATGGGGCGCTCCGGCACTTCTCCCAGGGCTTCACCTGCAGCGGGGCTGCCGGCGCCGTGTCCCCGGCGCCCCCGGGACATGCCCCGCGGATGCCTGCTCCAACGCCGCCTGCAGCATCCCTGCCTGCGCCCCGCCAGGTAGGGCGGAGGAGGAGGAGGGGAGGGGGAGGAAGAGGCAGGCAGCAGCATGCTGGGATCTGTAGTCCCTGCCAGCCCCGGCACGCACTGAAGGCAGCGCAGCCCGTCCCTGGCGCAGGTGCCCGCGGGCTTCTGGGCAGAGCTCGCCTCCTCCTCCGGTAGGATCCTGCCGGCTGGGAGCCTGAGCTACGACTGAGCCAAAACACAGCCGGTGGGATGTGGAGAGGGATTTTGGAAGTCCCTTGGGCCGCTTGGGAAAGACAGAGCAGGACAACAGTATGTCTGCAAAGGATCGAGGGCTCTGCCAACCCGGCAGGTGCCACCGTGTTGATGTCGGAGCCATCTGCAGCACCGCTCCCCTGCCTTCCCAGACAGAGAGCTCGGGGGCATGACAGCTTGCCCTTGTGAGCCATCCGGGCTTCCAGAAAAAACAACCCAAAATCCCCTCCTGGCAGCCTGCCAATGCCTCTGCGGGGAGGAGACATCCACATTCGGGATTAGCAGAGAGATCTGCAAACACAACTGCCATCCCCTCGCACACAGAAACCCCACCGGGGCCACTGCTTGTCTCCAAGCAAACAGATCTCAACCCAAAATAGGCACGAGAACCTCAGCTTTCCCCGTGGGTCCCCAGCAAGCCCCAACATGCTTCCCCTTGCCAGCCAAGCTGCTGATCCCGCTTCCAGCCCCCACCGGCTCACATCGCTGTCCCTAGAAACAGAAGCAGGGACCGACCCCATAGACATACCTGGGAGAGAGGACAGAGCAAGGGTGAGCCCTGTGTTCGGAGTATTTGAAGGCAGTGTGTCCCCTGCTTCCACACTCCCTGCCCTTGGGGTGAGTGGCAGGCCCTGGCTCAAGTCACGGGGGCTGGAGCCCCGTGGGTCTAGCGGCACCCGCAGAGGAGGAGAGGTATCGGGTACCAGAGCTGGCACACAGCCCACGTCCTGCTGCCCAACCATCCAGGGAAGGGAGGAACGGAAGGGAGCTGAGGAGGAGATGACAGGAGCCGGGGGTGTTGGGGAGGCGGCAGGGGGGCTCGGGAGTAGGATTCTGGGGGTGCTAGGGCAGGGCGCTCCGCCATGCTGCTTTCCCACCACCTCCTGCTTCCGTCCGGAGAGTGCCCACATCCCTGTGTCAGGAGCCCAGCCTCCTTGGCAGGCACTGCCCGGCCCGCAGTCTCCTGCCTGCTCTGTTTGTTTTCTGTCTCACTTCGCTAAATGCCTCCTAATGTTTTCCACAAAGAGACAGTGCCTGCCAAGGGCAGCAGTCATTACAGCAGGAAACACTTCCAGCTGCTGGCTGTTATAAAGAACCCTACAACAAACAGAAAAGGTTACATCCAGCTACAGGTGGCAGCCCTGCTTCCACTTGGGGAGAGCTGCCCTACCCGATGGGACATGGGACAGATGCCACTTTTCCAGCTGGCACAGCACAGCTCCAACCGCCCCCTGCAGGAGTCTGCTGGTGTTTAGCCCAGCCACCAGCTTGGTGGCTGCACATCCTGAGGGACACAGAGAAGGAGGAGCGATGTGGGGCCTTGGCATAAGGACATCCCTTTTCTTCCTGGGCATAGAGCAGTCTGTCTTAACCCCATGGCAGTGATGTGTAAGCAGAAGCAAGATCACAAAGAGTGGACTTAACAAACCATAAACTAGAACATTTGAGCAGGTACAAACAAGAGATGGCACAATTTTAATTGCCCATTCATGACACACAAAGACTGTGACAGATGCTGAGTGACACCCTCGGTGGCCATATGCTGCCCCATTGCCAGCCAAGCCCTGGGAGCTGACGGCAGGGCTAGCTGTCACCAAAACTGCCTAACCTCTGCAGAAAAACCCGCACTGCAGGACAGCCACACCTGCAGGCAGCCATTTGTCACCTGGCTTTGGACACTTCCCTACCTCTCCCTTTCCCCACATCACCTTTTCCTGCTGCCTTCACCAAGGGTGAGTACAGTGCATGCTTAGTTTCCCAGTCAAGCAATTCCCTGGTGCCATGCAGCATGCTATGGCACCATGGAGTTATACCCAGAAACACCAAATTTTTAAAGAAAAGCCGTTTACACCACACCAAGTGTAGAAGTGTCCTGGCAATCCATAGCCAAGGGGTTGCCAGCAGATACACTGGCAAGCACCTCATGTCCTCCTGACACCACTTGTCAGGGGATCATTTTGCAGGGATAATGTCAGTACTTCCTCCAAGCACGGCCAAGATGGGACAGGACAAGTTGCCTCACCAGCTTTTCACCATATCCCCTATGTCCGCTTGCCCACTGAGAGACACCAGAGTTCTCCTGCCAGGAAGGCTGATCCAGGGCCCCCTCAAAGTTTATCTGCAGGCACGCAACAAGCCCAGCACAGGTATGCAGGTCACATGAAACCTTGGTGGCCATGACTCAGCTGGAAGATAGGAAACACTTATGAGACTGCCTGTTTCATGAGATTTCATATGCGTGCCTGAACTCTGACCATGCTGCTTGTGGATCCTCCTACCTTGTGCTGGGGTGCAGGCAATTCCATCTCCACCTTCGGGACACACGCTTGTATTTCACAAGACAGATGAGTGTGCACAGTTGCGCACCACCGCTGTGGGGCTGAGACAGAAACAATCCCTCCCAAAACACGGGGAGGCAGGTGCCTTGAGTCAAAGGAGAGGCTGGTCCAGCTCAAAGGCTAGTCTCCATCTGAGTGCAAAAGCAGATGGTAGGAAAGAGTAAATGTGGCATGGGTTGTGGACTAACTGTCCAACTGTTTCCCCAGCCTTCGAGCTGGAAGGGACATGATGTTCATGTGTTTTGTAGCCATGGTGGGTTTCACTTCTGTGAAATCCTGCTTCCCCCTTCAACTCAGGAGCTCCTGAGAGGGGCAGCAGCCCTCCCCACATGCAGGGCCTCACCAGGGCTCCTTTCCCTTCAACATCAAAGGATGGATGAACATTGGAGTGGCTGCTTTACAGACCTGGATTGTATCCACCCAACAGCACATTCTTCAAACAAAAATTCTAGCTCACTTAGTCATTCAGGCATGGCTCCATGCCTTCAGTCCTCCTTGTTGCTTTTCTCCAAATCTTCCCTGGCTCCTCTCGATCCTTACAGAGATGCTGGTGCTGGGGGCACACAGGGACTGTGTGGGGGTGAGACACCAGTTTGAAGAGTGGCACAAAGTTTTCCTGCTTTGCTTCTGCTTTGTAACTGGGAAAGACAATTCAGTGTGTGTTTTCATACACACTGAGCTATCTGAAATAGCCCCAGGCCTTACTGTGAGTGGCCAGCTCATGGCTGGCTCAGTGTATAATCTTGTTTGTGGATTTGGGGCTTCTTCCCTTCCCCCCTTGTCTATCACTTGATATTTATCTAAACTGAATTTCAGTTGCCTGGTGTAATGGTTGTCAGTGCTCCTCCTAGCTGGCACTTGTCCCCATGAACCTGAGTAATCCAATCACCTCAGCAAAGCCCTGTCATCTCATTGCTCATTCTCTTTTCCAGGTCACTCATGAATGTTGAAAAAACATGTGACCAATGCAAAGATCTCTTTTCTCTGGAAAAACTGACTGCTGACTCCTACACCCTCTTCCTGTTTTCATACTAATTATGGAGCTGAGTAAAGACTTTCCCTCTTGACCAGCAAGTTCCCTTAAGAACTTGGCTGAAAGCTGGAATTTTTTTGAGGAAGCAGTGTGGGCACTCTGAGCCCAGACTCCCTAGGAAGTGCTGCTCCAGTCCTGGGGGCCTCGCCACAGGAGCCTCCCCACGTGCCCCGTGCCCTGTCCCTGCACAGACACCCAGGACATGTAGCAGATTCAGCAGTTGGCTTTTCCCTGAACTTCCTTCAGCCCTTCTCAGAAAATAACGTCATATCTTTCCCTCCTCCCAGTCACTGGGGGCTGGAGCAGTTGCAAATGAATGACTAGGGGGCACAGTCACAACCAGACACTTCACCCTCCCTTTCCTTCTGGGGAACATTGCCTGGCCCAAGACACTTGTTGCTGTTTACCTTTGCTTTCTACCTTTCCTCTGCTCTGAGCTCCCCAAAGGAAGGTGGAAGAAACTGCTCAGGCTCTTGTAGAGCTAACAGAGAGGTAAAAGCTTCATCTGTCTTTTCTGCTATGGCCTCTCTTCCTCTGATCCCTCACCCATCCAGCATCCTGCTGCAGGTTTCCTAGTCCTGGAGTGCTTTTTGGCTGTTTCCATCAGCAAGCTGATAGCACTTCCTATTCTTCTTGTATTCTCTCCCTCTCAGTAAACAGCCTTGTGATGCCATCTGCTCTTCCAGGCCTACTCCGTACCTGCATCCTGAGGAGACAGCTTAGCAGGGGAGCAGGAGGGAGCAGGTATTTCTGCTTTCTCCCTTAATTTGCTGTCTGCAGATGAAGTCCTCTGCTTTGCCAGGGCTTGGACAGCAGAAAAAAAGCACTTACAAGTTGCTCTGTGCAGCACCCTCACCCCACAGAATGAGGGTCCCTGGGCAATGTTTCTGACCCGTTTCACCTCACTCCCTCCACTGCTCCATTGACTTTTGAAGAGGCACCTCTAAAACTCCTCTGCCTTTGGGCTTGCTGCACTAGCAGCCACCACAAACTCCTCACAAAGCAGCAGCTGTGGATACTGACCCTGCTCCCAGCACTTGCTGTTATCTCAGATGCCGGGTGGCGAAGGAAGGGGGAGCATTCAGCCCTGGTGTGTTTTGAACTGCGTAGACCAACCAGGCTGAAGTTCCTTATCTAGAAAGTTCAAGGAGCCCTGAGAGGCTCCCTGGGGGCCCCCGCCCTAGGCAGGTAAAGTGATCCGGCTGAGCAGCAAATTCCCCAGGAACTCCTGCACTCTCCCTGAAGGGCTTCCCACCAGGCAGAGGGCAGAGGACAGTGACAGGGAAGAGGCAGCCTTAAAACTACCCCAGGTGGCAGAGCTGGGACTATCCCACCCATTACTGAGTCCTAGGAAGCCCTGGATATCCACCTCTTCAGCAGGGCAGCTGAGTGCGTTCCCAGTCCCAACTAATACTGGTCATATGCCATGGAAGCAGCCCCAGGATGAACCCACACACCTCTCTCCTCAGCACATGGCGAGTGCCCAAGCCCAAGTCCAATCTGGTCCCTGGCCAGAGAAAACCCCCCAGGAGCAGAGATGGGCACTCCTGCCCAAAATCCCATCAAACGCTGCAGAGGGACACTGCAATGTCACCCCAACAAGCTTACCAGAAGGGCAGGGCGGTCCCAGCCCCTTGCTCCTTGTCACTTCAAGCCACAGGACGATGCAGGGACAATGCAGCCTTGGGAGACGTAAGAAAAGCCCCACAAATATTGGAGCTGTTGCCTGCTCCAGGGCCGGTGGTTTGGGGATGCAGGAGGATATACAAGTTCCTGGGGAAGGGCAGGAGCAGGGGGAAAACGTCATTTACGTGCAGGCGTCAGAGGAGGAGAGATAAGCTGATCTCAGCAGACTGTTTGCAGAGACAGGATTCTTCCAAGAAGCTGGTTTCTCTGATGGCACCCACTTAGGCTGCTCTCCCCAGGGAAAGGACCATCCCCTCTAAGCCACAACCCCAACCTGCCTCTTGGGAGGCTCTGGAAGGAGACACGTTTTTCCAGGGCTAGGTTCAGTTTCCTTTTGTGGGAATTTAGAAAAATAAAGACCCTTACTCCCAAGGGCAGAAGGAGGGATTTGCTCAGGGCTTCACTCAGTGCAGCTGCAGAAGCCTCCAAGCCCAGGCAGAAACCATCTCCAGGATCTGGATGGTGCTTCCAGGCAGCTTTCAGCACCTCCAGGAGCAGCAAGGAGGTGGGAAGGGGCACAGAGTGACTCACTGTGGGCATGCACAGCTCACCAAGCTCATGACACCTGACCATGGTTTCTTGAGGGACCACCATGGGTTTGGAGAGAGCCTGGAGATGCTTTGCCCCAGACTTTCATCCTTGTCCAGCAATCCTCTGCAGCTGGCAGACCCTCACAGCCCATGTCTGCAGGGCTGGCCCAAGTCCCCAGGGATGCCAGGCTGGCCAATGGAGGTGCTGCTCGGGGGCCATGGGGAGGGGAAGTGCTGCAGGAAGGGGTACTTCCCTCTAACCCATCTGGGGGCTGCAGCAGGAAGAAGCACAATGGCAGGAAACCACATTTCCACTTCCAAATGGAGAAAACCTTACAGGATACCTGGGCAGAACAACCAGATATCATTAATGTAAAATTCATCTGGGAGCACAAGGAGCAGCCAGAGGAAGCCCTGAGCTGGAACGGGTCCTCCTTGCATGGAGCAGCCTGGGTCTCGATGCAGTAGTGGCACAGGCCACCACATGCCAGGACAGCCATGCACAGAGGACAAAGGCAATCCCAACCTTGTACACAACACAAGGCACAGTTATGGCTCTTGCCTGCCCACAGGCAGTTCCTTATTTCCACCCAGTCAGGTGGGAGGAGAGGCACTCCCTGGGGGGTTGGGACAGCACTTAGGTAAGATCCCTTGGGATCAGATGTGCCTCTTTTGCATTAGCAGCTTTCCCCCTCCCTGCATTCATGCTTGCTCAAGAGGAATCCCTGTCTCTGTCTGCACCATGATATGTTGGTTGGCCACACCTTGGACAGCAGCTGAAGCGGGTCAGAGGGATGGGCTGAGCCTACAGGACCATGTCCCACTTCCCCCTCCTGTCTGCAGCTGAGGGGAGCAAGGGTGAGACACAGAAAGAGGAGCCCACAGCAAAACAGACTGAGAGCAAAACAGCTCTTAGCCAGACAAGTCTGAAGATAAGGACTCACTGAATGTGTGGGAGGAAACCCAGTGGATAGAATCCCACAGCATGGGGATTTAGCTGGCCACCTCCTGCACCCCACAGCACATCCACCTCCCAAGAGAGAAGCTGTCCTTTGAGCTCTGGCTCCTTCCTCTATGGAGCCAAATTCAAAGGTGCAGAACTGGCAGGACTCTCCAGAGGCAAGAGCTGCCCAAACCCAGTGGGAGCTGCTGAGCTGCTGCCCCCCAAGAAGGTGGGAGAGCATCCCCAGGGCTGGGCAATGTGAACCTTGCCGTTGTACCTGGAGAGCCCAGCAGAAGGCTGCAAGTCCTGTTTGGGGTACTGGCCCAGGAGAAGATATGATTTTGCTCCTCCTCAGCAGTTTTTTAGAGGCTAGTCTGGGCTGCACAGCTGTTTCCAATTTAGTGGAGGACAGAGAAATGAAACCAAAGCCAGAACAACACAATCTTCCCTTGGTGTCACCATCTCCTCAGTATCCAAAATTCAGAGAGGAAATTCCTCCCCACTGAGCAGCAGCCCCCTTGGCAGAGGATGGGACAGACATGCAGGAGCCAACCACCACTGGCCTGTGGTGAGTCGAGGCTGGCTCTGCCCTCTGCATGTCCCAGTGGCCAGGACAGAAATACATAGGCTATTTTGGGTCCCCACAGACCAAAGGGACCTTTTGCTTGCAGGCCAGCTCAGAATAGGGGCCCTGGCTGACCACTGCTTTTGGCATTTAATGTCTCAGCCCTACTGAGAAAGGGGATGGTGAGCATAGAAGCCGGTTTTGGGACTTGCCAGGGTCCTGTGCAGTCTGTCTGTCAGCCACCTGTCCTGCCAAGAACCTGCTCTCTGCCTGGACAGCCACAGCATCTTACAAATCCTGAACTGGCTTCAGATGCTAAATGCAGCTATTTCACAGTGGCTCTACTCCAAGAGACAGGGAGTGTCTATCACACCCTCACCTCAAAAACCCACTTTGTGCCAGCCAAGGGGCACCCCACAGTCCCCAGAAACAAAAGAAAGGAGAAGGGGTGCATGCCCTGTATGGGTCTTCTTGTGCCAAATCCACTCAGTTCCAAAGCTGCAGCCATTTCCAAAGAGTGGGGTAAAACCATCCCCACAGGTCTCAGGAAGGGACTCGAGGAGCCACATATGCCTGCAGGGTTTCCCAGCAGGGAAGATGCTGCCTGTTGAGAGCTGGGTTTGCTATATCCCTGTTCTGTGGCAGATACAGAAGAGCTGTGAGTGCAACACACGATCTGTGGACCGAGGAATGGAAGCCAAGGAGGCAGTGTGCTGTCAGCGATGTGGTGCAAGCAAAGGAGTTGGAGCAAACACCCAGGGCAGAAGCACCATCCCTGGCACCCAGCTTCCCCTAACAGCCTGGCAGGACTGAGGTCTCACATGAGGAGCCAAAGCAAGACTTGAGGCAGACACCTCCTTCGGAGCAAGTAAGTCACAGCCCAAACCTCCCACCCTTGGCACTGGCCGTGGCTAAACAGCGGCAAACAGGAAAATCTTTATGCAAGTAGGATCAGGCGGGGAGAGCAAACAGGAGGTGGGGACTGCTGTGTCTGCCCAAATGCCATCAAAACAGAATCTCACACACAACCAACAATAATAAGCCCAGCCACAAGCTGGGAAAGAGCAAGTCACATCCCCTCCAAATCCCAGCCTGTGCTGCTACATTGGTGCAAACAGCCACTGCCCAGTGTGCCACAGCCATGGTATCGCAGCCTGTCTGGCACCCTGAGCATCTTCAGGATGTCTCAGGGAAGCATGAAAAACTCTGCATGAGAGACACCAAGTGCTCTGCTCTTATGGAAATGGCACTTTGCAGCCACTGGCATTGGCTGGCAGGCTCCAGAAGCCTCTCAGCCTCCCCAGATTAATGTGGGGAGCAGAGGAAATGAAGGTGGCTCTAGACACCCTGCTGGGAGACCCAAGCTTACAGCAGCCTCCACTGAGGTGAGCTGGCCATCTGGCAAGGTGTCTTGTCAGGGCTTGCCTAGGTGGATGCTGATGTACCTCCACAGTGATGCTAGTGATAGGGAGCCCAGGGCCTGAGCCTTGCTGAAGCAGTCTCTTCTGACACACTGCATCCCTTTCACAGCCACAGGGAAGGAAGGGAGGCACAGCAGATTGTGCATTGAGTATCAATTGCCAGGCTATTTACTGATGCTGGGTTTTGTTTCTGGTCAAAGACTCAATTTTTGGAGCCCAGCTGCAGAGCCCAGGCAGGAGGAGTGCAGTGCTCTTCAGCACCTTCCTCATCCCCCTGCAAGACATGGATTCTGACCCACACCATGTGGGCAACCCGCAGCTGCTGCCTCCAGCCCTATTCAGAAGCATGCTAGCACATCAGTGTCCTGACGTGGTTCACCACACAGACACGCCAGCCTTGTGTTGCCACGAGGAGTGGGTGTGAAGATGGGAAGGAGAAGCTGCAGGGTAGGGTGGATCGCTCCCATAATAGCTTGGCTGTGTTGCCGTTGGTCTGTGTCCTCCTGTGGTTAATGGATAACACTCCTGCTCTTGCCAGGATGCCATGAAGATCCACCCAACCCTGCCATCCTCAGCCACAGCCCAACACCTACAAACCCTGATGGGATGAAAGCACCATGCACTGTGTGCATCCTGCAGCAGTGGGCTCCCTGTGGGGGCTGAAGTCCAGAGCAAATACAATCAGGGAGCTGAGGGTACAGCACTAAGGGTGGATAAAAAAATAGAATTGCCTCCAACTTGGTCCTGAGGCCAGGAAATTACACCACCTCTCACAGGCAGAGCAGGCAAGGCAGATAAGGCTGGCATCTCGTTCAACCCTGAGCCTTGGGCAGGACTGAGAAGACAGATGTGTCACCAGTCCCTCCTTCGTCCCTGGCTGTTGTCCAGGAGTTATCCCCAAGCTTAAAACAGGGGAGTTTCTCTCATGAGGGTTTACCATGACCATGCACAAAAACTCTAATGAAACTCCAAAGCCCTCACAGGCTCGAGCCAGGTGAACAGGCCCTCAGCCACAGGTGTAAACTGTGTCCGTGGTTGGAGGTGCTGGGCAAAATGAACCAGGCAGGGATGAGGACCATGTTTGGAGCCACAGCTTGGGCAGCAATGGAGACACCAAGCAGGGCAACCCAGGCAGGACACCCTTCTCCCCAGCAGCTTTGCAGGTGGCTGGAGCCACTTCAGTGGGGACACAGATACACATTCAGGTGGATGGCTTGCCCTTGGCACAGCACAGCTGATGACACAGTCTTGCTGCCGTGACTGACCCTCAGGATGAGGCCAGAGCAGGCTGCTTAGCGGGTGGGAGGTTGATGGCACAGCCCTCCAGTCCCACTGCTGCTGTCCTCCCAGTCACGTCCCTCCAAGCCCTGCTCTTCACCTCCAGCCCCTGCCTGCCTCCTCCCTCTGCAGCTTCCTGGTCTGCTCACTCCATGAATTTCCAGCTGGAAATTTCACAGCGAGGTGCCTTCCTATCAGACTAGTCCTAAAGGAAATGAACTAAAGCAAATCTCACTGGCAGTCGTGTGATGGGAAGAAGCAAGAAGGCTCTGCGGAAATCTGCCTGACTTCCTGCTGGCAGCTTCTGCATGAGCCACTAGGCAGGCAATAGGTCTCTGCTCTCTTTTGGC